TCATCTACTGCAACATCAACGAGGTGTGCCACTATGCCAGGCGCAATGATAAATCCTACTGGCTCTCCACTACCGCCCCTATTCCCATGATGCCCGTCGGCCAGACCCAGATTGCCCAGTACATCAGCCGCTGCTCTGTGTGTGAGGCGCCATCACAAGCCATTGCTGTGCACAGCCAGGACATCACCATCCCACAGTGCCCCCTGGGCTGGCGCAGCCTCTGGATTGGATACTCCTTCCTCATGGTAAGGTCCTGCACTGCCCCCTCTCCCTATTGGAGGCAAAGGGCTTGGACTGGTTCCCAGGCTCAAGGGACACCAGGTGGAAAGCACAGAGTTTGAAAAGAATGGTAATGTGTGGCCTGGGCTTGGCTAAAGAATGGAGAACCCAAGTCTGCATGAGTGGCAGGTAGTTATGGGTATACAGGAAAGACAGCAGTTTGCACTCAGTGGTTCAGGGGCTAGAATATCTGTGAGTCACAGGTCAGTGTCCCACCATCTCCACGTCTGTGTCAGTTATGCCACTCCCAAGGGAAGAGCAAAACACACTATGATCTGGGAGGACAGTGAAGGACAGTCTGTCCCCACTCGGGGCCAGGAAACAACCTCACTAATTAGGCCAGCCATTGCACGGTCCCCTCTTCTCTCCACCCTTCCAGATCCCTCTGGCCTCTGCCATCTCCTCCCAAAAGGCTCTGATGAGTGTATGCTGCGTTGTTATGTCGTTGCTGGTATTTTTGCTGCCTCTCCATTTCAGTGGGAAGGCAGCGGCCAGCCATGCAGTGTGTCTTGCTAAGAAAAAGAACATTTGCAAGCCCAAAGAGGCATCAGGTCCCTCACATAGTATCCTGTGTATACCTGAGGATGTTTCTTCAAATACAATGTCATGTTAGGGTCAAGACAGCCTCCAGGGAAAACCAGTGTGGCACCCACTGGAGTACTCTGCCTTGCCAGAGCTTCTCTGTTGAATTGCCAAGGGTGATATGGTGAGAGTGTCTTTAAAAAAATAACCAAAGCTGCGGGCCCCCAACATTAGCATACCTACTTGGGGAAAGGTACTTGTCCTTGTTATGGTCTGTCTTTGGACTTTGGACAGTTCATCCCAGTGTAATACAGAATCAGCTCACCTGTCCTTCTGTCCTGTCCACCACCCTGACCAGGAAATAAGGAGAGGCCCCTGAACTTCCACAGGAAATGGTAGAAACACTCTGTACTAAATCTCATATGCTCTGCTTATGGGAGGGCTCTTAGCCCTTATTCAGAATCTCTTTACTCTTACTTTACACATTAATTCTAACATACTAGAATATTTTTCCTGAATATTTGTAAGAGTGAGAATTTGGACTGCCTAGCAAGGCATCTTGACGCAATGAGACATATTTATTAAAAAGGGGAAAATAATTCAAAGGAGGCCCAAGAGTTCTACGAGCTGTACCCCTTGGTATGGGGCTCTTACATAATCATCCCCCACAAAAACTGTCATTCACAGTGACAAGCCTGATTCATCTGCAAAGTTCAAAGTAACCTAGTGCCTGCTACTTAGTAAAGCAGGAAAATGTGTTGTGCATTTTAGAGTTTTTGATTCTCAGGGTCAAAATGAGGAAAGCTTTGATGCTTCAGCTGTCAAAAAAGGGTTACATGAAAGGTCCCATGTAGACTCTCACTCTCGCAAAGTTCTGCAAAGTATGGAGTCCCTGTGTGCCAACTTGGGCATCTGTCCCATTGGCCATTTGCTGACTCAGTTGTGTATTAGGCCTCTTCCCCATCTCCTGTGGTCCAGATGATACCCACCTAAAGTGAAGGGAGAGGGGCAGGAGTGTGAAGAGACAGGAGCTGCGGTCTATGGGAACAGCAACTAAAGACCACAGCTCATATGTAGCCCTGAAACTGAATGCTGAGGGAGCCCTCTGAGGTGAGGGCCAGGACCTTTGGACCCAACACAACAAATTAAAGAAAACCTCACTAGATTTCGGGCTGTCCCTCTTTTCCTTCTTAGAGTACAATGCACAGTGGAGGGAGGGCTCTGAGAACTGCAGTCCGGAGCCTATTACATTTCCCTTCACTCAGCCTTTCTCAGATCCATTTGTCTGTGGCAATTTTGCAAGGGAGTACCTAACACACCTCTGAACCCAGCGGGACAGTATTTTTGGGAATTTCTGCCTGACATGTAGTCATTGCCCTACATAATGGGTTTGGAGGTCACTAGGGAGCTTGAGGGGGCGCATTCTTGGCTCTGAAAGCTGCTATGAGGGAGGAGAAGCAGCCCCTGCCCCTAAAACACACCTCTTGGTATGCTGGCTTGAAGCTGGGGCCGAGACGAGGGACCAGGGCTTAGGAATGGAGCTCATGTGCCCCCTATAGCAGCAAAGCACCCATCCCCTCCCCATGCCAACCCTTGGCAGGCACAGTTCACGCACTAATCTCCTGTCTGTTTCAGCACACTGCCGCTGGTGCCGAGGGTGGAGGCCAGTCCCTGGTCTCACCTGGATCCTGCCTAGAGGACTTTCGGGCCACTCCTTTCATCGAGTGCAGTGGTGCCCGAGGCACCTGCCACTACTTTGCAAACAAGTACAGTTTCTGGTTGACTACAGTGGAGGAGAGGCAGCAGTTTGGGGAGTCGCCTGTGTCTGAAACGCTGAAAGCTGGGCAGCTCCACACCCGAGTAAGTCGCTGCCAGGTGTGTATGAAAAGCCTGTAGGGCGGCACCTGCCACTCTGCCCCTTGCCCTCCTCTGCCCCTCACAACAGTCACCTCACAAACCTGAAAGGTCTGAAGGAAGGCCTGAGCCCCTTTGCCTGTCTGTCAAGTTGTACATTGGAGTCTCATTTAGGCTAGTCTACCAGACACTGATGACCCCAGCCCTCAGATCCACAGAGATGAGCCCACCCTGCTGAGACCTGCTGTCCCATTTCTGTCAAGCTGGTGCTACCGTTTGATTTGGATGATTGTGTGACTATTCATGGCTACCTCAGAAAGATTTGATGGACCACCACTTTCTTAGACTAGCTATCCTCACTGTCTTGATCGGAATGCTCTTCATAATGGCTAATCAGTCATTTCTTCATGTCCAGAGGTCAGCACACATTATTCGGCTTAAACCAGAACCCAGCGTTTCCACATTTAAAACAAATTTTCTAACTGAACATTCATGGATGGCTCAAGTTTACATAGAGCAAGTCCTCACTGTCCAAGGAGGCCCACTGTGTCTAGGCAGGTGAAATGAGGTGCCAGCCAGTAGCTCAGGGTGAGCTTTAGCTCTCTCCAGAATGAGCAAGACTGGGCCACATACGGCTTAGGCAGGCTTGAAGGCCAGCAGTTGGGTTGGGGGTGGTGGTCATTAACGGCATATGGTCCTAGAGAAACCACTTCCTCCTTGCCAGTTCCCCCTCCAGCCAGAGACAGAGAACTTGGCCTGGTTCAAAGTAGAGCAGAGGATGCAACAAATGTGGCCAAGCCTATCAAAGGAAATGAGAATTACACCTTTTTTCCTGGGCCAGGAGTAGAGGGGTGGGTGGGTAAGGAGGTGTGAATTTTGCCTTTGCCTCCAGGAACGAAAAGGTAAATGCCACATCCCAGTTTCTCAGCAGTCTCTATGTATTCCAAACGTCATCCAGATGTGTGCAATGTGGCAAACTAGAGCCGCACAGTGTTGGTCTCCTTGTATTCTGAGGATGTTAAAGACTTTCTGTTAAACAGTTATCCAACTGCACTTTCACAGGTAGCCTATTAAACTATTTTATTTTTTAAAACGTCATAAAAATCTAGCACACTCTTCTCTTGAGCAGTCAGCAAACCTAAAGCAAGCCTGAACTGGCTATGCAGTACATTGTATTCTGTTTGGTGGAATTTGTTTTGGCCATTTTCTTTAACTACCAGTTTCCCAGAATACTCAGCTATGTTGACATGAGGCAATTCCTTCCAGGTGATTTTGTTTCCTTAAGTATTATATAAACTGTGCCAATACAGACAAAGCATAATCGGTGTAACCTGAATTACTGTTATCTTCACCTCCTGAGTAATAAGCATGGTGTCAATTTTGTACATAGCAAATAAAATAAATGAAATCTGAACATGTGACTCTTTTGAGGTTCTTTTATGAAAAGTTTTCTAATGTCCATCTCACTGCAATTTATAAGCCCCCCCACCCCCAGAGCCTCAGGGGTTTCTGTTACTGCCAAGTTGAACTCTATAACAAAATACTGAGGCAGGAAAAAATTAGATGATCAAAGTCAAAGGGCTGAAACAGTCATCTAACAGTCAACAAACCCATAACCTGCTTCGAGATAAGTCTATACCTGTTTTTACCCCTGTCACACACTAGAGTTCAAGATGTCAAAGCATGATGTAGGTTGATACGAATAAATAATTTTTAAAAGTAAAAAAAAAGTTCAAGAAAGGCATTTTCATACTTCCGTGGTATTAGGATCTTTTGCAGATAAAGGAAGAGAATGTTCAAGTAATTAAAATCACATCCAAGCTGCGTGTGTGAGTTTGTGTGTATATGAGTGTGTGTGCATATGTCTGTGTATAAAATACATCCTCTGGGAAGATAAAGAAGAAATTAATACCATTCGGAATTTTCAAGGGCGTGAACTGACCTATCAGAGAGAGCGCGACAAATCACTGGATATCCTTTGATATCTTTTGAATTTTGAACCACTGGAATATGCTGGGGAAAAAAGAAAAACATGGAATCTAAGGAAACAAGCAGATTGGTTTGGTGCTAGCTTCCAGTTGCTGGCCTTCCTTGAGAGTAGATGAAGAATGGGGGTCAAATGCAGGCAAGTTAAGGGAGCAAGAAAAGGAAAACGGGAAGATATCGCTGGGGCTTGAGGCGCATTCTCACAGGAGGGAGGGTGGGTAGTGAAGCTAATTTCATGAACACATGCTTTAAAACCTATTATGTTGCTAGTCCTAAAATAGTTTGGAATTGCATATGATGCACAGCTTAAATGTGTAATTTACCATATGAATAGTTCTAAATATGGCTGTCATCCAACCAGAGTATAATTCAAACACAATTTATTTTTAATTTCTCAAACAAAAATCAACAATTTAAGTCACTGGCAAGCTACAGCCTGTAGCCCAAACCCAGCCCTCCACCTGTTTTTGTAAATAAAGTTTTCTTGGCTTACAGCCGCATTCATTTACTTGCATATTGTCTATGGCTGCTTTTGCACGTCAACAGCAGAGTGAGTTGAGTAGATGTGACAGAGGACACATAGCCTGCAAAGCCCAAAATATTTACTGTCTGGCCCTTTAGAGCAAAAGTTTGCTGACCCCCCTGATTTAAGTGATCATGATCTGATTTAAGGACAGGGTGACATCTGACAAAAGTATCAGTAAGAATGGGGACAGTGACCCATCAAATAGTAAGATTCCCACAAATAGGAGGGGGATCAAGAAGTGTGTATTTGACATCATTTCTTTGACAAACATTTTGATATAAATTATAATTTCTTAAACTACACAATCAAATAATATAACAAGAACCTTTTCCTCCCTGATTCAGTCACTTTATTATTTGAGCAAGAGAACAGATTGCTTCTTAGTATTTAGTCCAAAAGAGGTCACACCTGAAAGGGTGAAGAAGACCAGCTTAACCATCTCTTATCTGCTGGTGCTTGAAGCAAGCTGAGAGTTGCTGTCTGTCTTCCAGATATCCATCTCCTCATTGCAGCAGCTGAAGACTCGCTGTAGCCATGTAAGACAAGCTGAGAAGCAATGAACTTCTCCTTATCCCTCTGCTCCTAGGTCCATGATTGTTCTATTTCTTTCTGGGAAAGGGTTACTGTCATTTTGTTTTGTTTTGTTTTGTTTTCTGAGAAACAGTGATTGGCTCAGTCATGAAAGCGATCGAGTTTGTATGCTATTGGCATATCAGGCACTTGCTGACTATTAAAGTTTTATGTAATAAGTTCATGTTTTTATGGTGCCAGATGGAAGACAGACATCCAAGTTGAGTTCCCAGGATTCTACACACTCAGAATTTCAAAATCTTCCTCCAGATCCAACTCCTCCAGCTGTTCATTAGAGTCAATGAATTCTATCAGTATACAGAAACGAGAAAGAAGAAAAGCTTGACACTTGGGTTGAAGTGGCCAATCAATACATTACTCGGTAGTTACGACTATGCATTTTTAATTGCTTTACTAAAGAAAGACTTGTGTGGAGAAGACTTACAATTAGAACTACTGCCAAGTATTAGAAATTGTCTATAAAGACTCAAAATAGCCAGACTTGTTACATAAACCTAATGACGGTGATGTGGCCAAGGCTCTGCAAGCCCTTCAAGATACGCTGAATTATCGATGGCCTCAATTTGCTACTCTGAACCGGGCCATGAAAGAGCAATCCTAGTCATCTTGATTTTGCACAGAACTTTTGCAATGAGCTCACTTTCTTCTTCTGTCATTCTTTGCAATTGGTAAATACCAGCTCATCAGAAGATTAAAATAACCAGAGCACCTTTTCTTTTTGATCACTCCAGCTGAACAGAAATTTTACTGTCCACAGAAAGCATGGGCCACAGTTCCTTCTTTCTCACAAAACAATTGCTACACATGGGTCTGCTAGCCAAGAGCCCCTGGACAACAGCTTACCTGCCCCAGTGGTTGTCACTTCTGGCTTGGCTGGAGGTATAAAGGGAGGCCAGTGCGATGGATGTTTCTGAACCAATTCAAACATCCTTAAATTCTCCTTTAGAATTTCCTGGGGAGATACCAAAACAGTTGTAAACACTGCAGACTCACAACATTTCTAGTTGGTAATCTTGGACCCCAAACCCTGAGACAGTGGTCTGGTGGCTGCCACGTGAAAACAGAGGCCTAGCAAATACACTCATCCTCTACTTGAACCATCTGAAGACCCAGCCACCTTCAATTCTATCTACTGTTTGGCCAGGAAGGAAGGACATTGTGGGGAGTATCTGATGAAGGCCAGCAGTCACTGCCTGTTCTCCACCATGAGGCACAGTCCTTGTGTCAGATGCATGGGTCCTGCTCACTTTAGGGGTGAGATGTTCTTGAAGCATTGGCTCCAGAGAAATATCAGTTAGTCAAATTAAATCTGCCCTAAGAGACTATTGCTACATGTTGGCATTGTTTCAGTGGCAGTCCAAAATGTATGGTATGTATCCTAATTTAAATGGCACAGTTTTGGCCAGACATGGTGGGTCACACCTGTAATCCCAGCACTTTGGGAGGCCAAGGTGGGCAGGTAACCTGGGATCAGGAGCATGAGACCAGCCTAGCCAATGTGGTGAAACCCTGTCTCTACTAAAAACACGAACATTAGCCGGGAGTGGTGGTGGACGCCTGTAATCACAGCTACTCGGGACGCTGAGGGAGGAGAATCGCTTAAACCTGGGAGACGGAGTTTGCAGTGAGCCCAGATCTTACCACTTCACTCCAGCCTGGGCGACAAAGTAAGACTTTGTCTTAAAAATGATAATAAAATGAAATAAAAGGCATGGTCTTATCAATTCTCATTCCACCTTTAAGTGTGGTATAAATGCAGTTTTGCTACATTTTAAAATATAAGTATTACCTTTAGAAAATAATTCTCTATTAATGAGATAAAATATTAGGTTTCATCACTAAAAAATATAACTCCCTTGATATACTAAGCATATTTCAAACCAAAGTTTTTGTTCAGTTCCCCCAGAGTTATACATAATTTCCCAAATGAGACGTTGATCACTATCTGCCGGGGTATGTCCTGTAGACCATGACTCAGTGAGGAATGAATACACTTAAACACAGAGAGTACAGTAAACAAGTGGGCTGGGGGTATCCATGGCCTCTCCCCTGGCAGGGTCAATGCCGGCAGCCTTTACTCTAGGCCTTTCTTCAGTACACATCAAATGACAAAGCTTTGAATCGACATCACTTAGATCAAAGGCTAGGTTCCTATGCTCAGCGTAAACACCATTAAGGCGTCAATCTCCCCCGGCCGACCCAGAGGGCTATCCTGCATCAAGGTTAGTGAGTTATTCAGATAAACTCCTACACATACCTTAACTATTGGCTTTTCTCATTAACTACATGTAAAGGGGGTGTTGACTGCCTTCAGCCGAAACTTCTACTGAAACCAATGCAAACCCCTCAGGCTTCCAAGGTGGGTTGTTACTATAACTTATAACTATCTCTTAATATTCTTGGCCACCATCCTGAGTGAATTCCTACACCCACACCTGAGAGTTTCTTTGTTGCCTTAGTTTCTTTCTCTTGTAGTAAAGTCATATCAGAGTAGGATTATTTTTACTATGAAACACAATCTTGAAAAGGAATCAAATTGAGTAACTTCATTTTTCAGACTAAGAAAAACATACAGCTTTACCTTCTGAACAAGGCTACACCAGTTATCAAAGTCTTTTTCTTCTTTGCAGAAAAATCCCTTGGGGGAAAGCAAAAGAGCACAACTTAGAATTACCCTTGGTATTGCACAATGGAGCTGTCGGCCCAGAACTAGTATGTGGGCTAGTCTCTGTGGATGTGACTTTCCAGCAATAAAGGAGGAAGACTGGTCTTCTCTCTTTCCTAACTCAATGCCTTAGTCAGACATACACACCTCTCTCAGTCTCGCCCTCATTCTCACCCTTGCTCTATGTCCCTTTCCCTCTCTCCTCATGCTGCAAGATATTCTAACTTGAAGATATCTTCAAAGTGTGGGGTTAATTCCACTACATTTGGTGTACAAATATACACATCTCCAAAGAACACTCAGTTAAGCCAACAAACAAAAACCAATAGTACTTTTAGCTGGAGGCAATACTTAAGAAGATGGTGTTGGCCTTCAGGAAATCATCTATCAGAATAGAGAGAACCATCAGTCTGCTTCCCCAATCTCAAAGCCATCCCAGAGTAGTGAAAGAATGGTCCACAAGAGGAGGACTTACGGCTCTTGGTCACTGGTATATTGACAATTGGATTAAGCCGGAGGAGAGGACAGACAGACCTCAGAACCACTGGCTACTTCACAGGCAGATGCCCCTTCAATGTGTGTACAGACCAAACATAGTTTAGGGGAAACCCTGCAGCTTCCTCGATTGTATGCACCCAGGGCATTTTGCTCCCTTATCTCTCCCTAGTTATATCCCACCTTCCTCCCTGTCCCTGGGTGGCAATAATTTGAGGACAAGAAGGAAATGGGGGAAAGATGATAATAACTAAAATGTATAGAATACTTACAATGTGCCAGGCCCCATGCTAAGTGCCTTATATCCACTGTACCTCATACAACCCCATAGGAAGGGAATATTTTTTTTCCTCATTTCAGAGATGAGAAGACCGAGGCTCAGAAAGGTTAAGTGACTCCTCCTAGATGCATAGTTAGTGATAGGGTTTGGCTGTGTCCCCACCCAAATCTCACCTTGAATTGTAATAATCCCCACGTGTCAAGGGTGGGACCAGGTAGAGAAAACTGAATCATGGGGGTGGTTTCCCCCATACCATCCTTGTGGTAGTAAGTCTCACGAGATCTGATGGTTTTATAAATGGGAGTTCTCCTGCATAAGCTCTCTTGCCTGCCACCATGTGAGATGTGCCCTTGCTCTTCCTTCATCTTCTGCCATGATTAGGAGGCCTCCCCAGCCATGTGGAACTGTAAGTCAACTAAACATCCTTCCTCTATAAATTACCCAGTCTCGGGTATGTCTTTATTAGCAGTGGGAGAAGAGACTAATACAGTTAGTAAGTGGCAGAGCCAAGATTCCAACTGGAGCAGTTTGGCCTGAGGGTCCGTTCCCTCCCCACTCCATACTACTGCCTCTAATGGGGAAAGTGAGCTAACACACTCTTGCCTCCCTACCTAGCAATCTGGATAACTCCCAGGGAACCAATCTGTACACATCCTATCTCCTGGCCCACCCAACCTTCAGATACCCACCAATGCAACTGAAGGATCCAGGTTCAGAATGTTCATTCGCTGTGGGGACTGTAAGCAATGGAAAGTCTGGTCATTAACCGTTCCATTCTCTTCAGTGTCGACAAAGGTCTGGGTTGTGTGAGGGTCCAAGAAGATGAGCTCGTCACCTGTTTTGAAAGAGATATGCTTAACTCTCAAAGGACTACTGGTCCTGGCCCCACTGCTGTCCTTGGGAGGAGGTGTTCTGGTTGCCTTAACCCCTCCCTTGGTGACAATGAGAATGGAATGACTGAAAGCCTGAAGCCAGGGTAAGCATGCTTAAAGGAAGTCACTTGTACCCAAATCATATCATCCAATGAGGAGATGTGCCCTAGCACTTACATCTCCTCAAAGTCCAAGTCCAAAAATGGAAAGTGACAGGTTTGAGAAAATGTGGGAATGAGGGACCACAGATGGCATGGCAGGCTCTGTGAGCAGCAGTAGCAAAGAGGTGGTAGGTGCAGTCACCAGGTTTTGGGCCCAGGTGCCATTAGGGACCTTTCTGCCTCTTGACATTGAAAAGCATCTCAGGCTAGACCACTGGCTATCAGCCCCACGCTCAGAAAGCACCTCTGCTAAGGGAGAAGGTCCTGATCTTCAAAAGAAATGCTGACTTTTTATGGAATGGGAATGCTGACTCTTTATGGATGAGAAACCAATGAGCTGACTTCTGGTCCTGAGTAGCGAGCAAGTTAGTACTTATTAGCAAGTTAGTAAGTTCCCGTCAGGAAGCACTGCCTTTGTCACATTACCATCAGCGAAGAAACATCTCACTTGGAAAATTCACTTTGAGATGACTGACCTTGACACAAGAGATTTAAGCTGTGCTTCATCAAATTGAAAAAGTCTAAGCTCAAAATGACATGGGAGGAGGTTAGGATAAAATTTCTGCTTTGACCTGACATTTAAAGGGCTAAAAGTCCCTCTCATGTTCACCAGCCACAGGCTAAGGACGCAAAAGTGCCTAAGAGGTACCCCAGCCTCACCGTCTAGGCCTGAGGGCCATCTGGGATTCTGTGTACTCGACTACATCAGGCAAGTAAGGAGACATCTACCTGCTTGCAAAGACTCGAGTAGGGAAAGACACCCCGAAGACTGTCTCTGGAATGGTATCCAGGATTGTGTGGGCACATCTACATGTTTCTGTTGGCAAAGAATGTTTTGTCTCTGAAGGCTCATGAAAAGTTTAACATTTTTCTATCATAAGCCAAGGACAAACCACTTAATTCACTCTCTGTCTTAATTTTCTTATTTTTAAAATGGGGTCATTGGTCCTATTCTAGTTGACTCATTATATAGTACAAGGACCAGAAGATTTCACCTTTGTGATATGCTTAAAACACAATACAGGGCCAGGCGCAGTGGGTCATGCCTGTAATCCCAGCACTTTGGGAGGCTGAGGTGGGGGGATCACAAGTTCAGGAGTTTGAGACCAGCCTGGCCAACATAGTAAAACCCCATCTCTACTTAAAAAAAAAATACAAAAATTAGCTGGGCACGGTGGCATGTGCCTGTGATCCCAGCTACTCGGGAGGCCGAGGTGGGAGAATTGCTTGAACCCAGAAGGTGGAGGTTGTAGCGAGCCAAGATCATGCCACTGCACTCTAGCCTGGGCGACAGAGCAAGACTCCGTCTCAAAACAAACAAACAAATACAAATAGAAGGTGGCTAGAGAATTACTTTACTGCAAATCAACAGTAATTCCCTACAAATGTATTTTTGAGAGTATATAGAAATCAATGCCCCCATATGACTTGCTTTATGAAAGTCCAGGTAGCTATTTTTCCCCTAGACCACAGGTGAGCAAGATCACTGAAAGCAAAAAAGCCAAGAGCAACCAAGATGGTTCGAAGGAAGCCTACCTAGAACCATAGAAAGGTCCAAGGGAAAGAAAGCTGTAGGCAAGAAAACAGCAAAAAACAGGGTTAGATCTGAGCCATCTATTGGGATGTCTGGAGCTAAGGTGTTAGGAATAATATCTTTTCTGACTCTGACCAGAACCTTTTCCCATGGGTGTGTGTGTGTATGTGTGTGTGTGTGCGCGCGCGCACGTGCATGCATGCATGCATGGAGTGGAGCTTAACGAGCTGCATCATTTATTTATTTATTTATTTATTTGAGACAGGCTCTCCTTCTGTGTGATGGTTAATACTGAATGTCAATTTGACTGGATTGAAAGATACAAAGTATTGATCCTGGGTGTGTCTGTGAGGGTGCTGCTGCCAAAGGAGATTAACATTTGAGTCGGTGGGCTGGGAAAGGCAGACCCACCCTTAATCTGGGTGGACACAATCTAATCAACTGCCAGTGCAGCACGCAGAAAAATGTGAAAAAGAGAGACTGGCCTAGCCTCCCAGCCTGCATCTTTCTCCCATGCTGGATGCTTCCTGCCCTTGAACATCAGACTCCAAGTTCTTCAATTTTAGAATTCAGTCTGACTGTCTTTGTTCCTCAGCCTGCAGGACCTCACTACATTACTGACAATTTATACAGTGAATCTTTCTCCCATCCTTCCCCAGGGAGACCTCTGGCCTTTTACCAGGGTAGCTGTGCATTGGGAAAAGGGAAATGATCAGATGTTTCGGAGCCTACTGGACACTGGCTCTGAGCTGATGTTGATTCCGGGGAACTCAAAACGTCAATGTGGTCCTCCAGTTAAAGTAGGGGCTTATAGAGGTCAGGTAATTAATGGAGTTTTAGCTCAGGTCCAACTTACAATGGGCCCAGTGGGTGCCCAGACTCATCCTGTGGTCATTTCCCCAGTGCCAGAATGCATAATTGGCATAGACACACTTAGCAGCCGGCAAAACCCCTATATTGGCTCCCTGGCGAGTAGGGTAAGGGCTACTACAGTGGGAGAGGCCAAATGGAAGGCATTAGCAGCTTCCTCTACCTAGAAAAGATAGTAAATCAAAAACAATATTGCATCCCTGGAGGGACTGCAGAGATTAGTGCCACCATCAAGGAACTGAAAGACCCAGAGGTGGTGATTCCCACCACATCCCCGCTCAACTCTCCCATTTGGCCTGCGCAGAAGACAAATGTATCTTGGAGAATAACAGTGGATTACTGTTAGCTTAACCAAGTGGTGACTACAATTGCATCTGCTGTACCAGATGTGGTTTCATTGCTTGAGCAAATTAACACATCTCCTGGTACCTGGTATGCAGTCATTGACTTGGCAAATGCCTTTTCCTCCATTCCTGCCCATAAGGCCCACCAGAAGCAATTTGCCTTCAGCTGGCAAGGCCAGCAATATACCTTTACTGTCCTACTCTCTGGGTTTGTGTCATAATCTTATTTGGAGAGACCTTGATCGATTTTTGCTTCCGTAAGACATCACACTGGTCCATTACATTGATGACATTATGCTGATTGGATCCAGTGAGCAAGAAGTAGCAAACACACTGGATTTATGGGTAAGACATTTGTATGCCAGAGGATGGGAAATAAATCCAGCTAAAATTCAGGGTCCCTCTACCTGAGTAAAATGTATAGGGGTGCAGTGGTGTGGGGCCTGTCGAGATATTCCACCTAAGGTGAAGGGTAAGTTGCTGCATTTGGCCCCTCCTACAACCAAGAAAGAGGCACAATGCCTAGCAGGCCTATTTGGATTTTAGAGGTAACACATTCCTCACTTGGGTGTGTCACTCTGGCCCATTGAAGGGAAATCTTCCCAGTGGTCACAACTTGGAGCAGTGCAGCTGGTTGTGCACTTTGCATGGAAGGAGAAATGGCCAGATGTACGATTATATACATTCTATTAGTTCTGGCCCTCTTGAGAACACTAATACAATCTGTCACCCCAGGCTGGAGTGCAGTGGCACAATATCAGCTCACTGCAGCCTTGACTTCCCAGGCTCAAACAATCCTCCCACTTCAGCCTTCCAAGTAGTCGGGTCTATAGGCAATGCACCACCACATCCAGCTAATTTTTTGTATTTTTGGTAGAGACAGGGTTTCACCATGTTGCCCTGGCTGGTCTCAAACTCCTGAACTCAGGTGATCCACCTGCCTCAAGTGATCCACCTCCCAAAATGCTGGGATTACCAGTGTAAACCATCATACCCAGTCACAAGCTGAGAGTGCTTATAAGAGATATAATATACTTAGGATAATGGCCTCCAGCTCCATCCATGTTGCTGCAGAGGACATGATTTCATTACTTTTTACGGCTACATAGTATTCCACGGTGTATATATTACATTTTATTTATCTAATCATCATCCATTGGGGTATAATGCTCAAGATTTTGGTGATAGGTATACTAGAAGCCCAATCCCCACCATTACACATGTAATACCCATGTAACAAACAAGCACATGTACCTCCTGAATCCGAAATAAATTTTTTTTTTAAAAGATACCCGATAGGCCGGGCGCAGTGGCTCAAGCCTGTAATCCCAGCACTTTGGGAGGCCAAGGCGGGTGGATCACAAGGTCAAGAGATCGAGACCATCCTGGTCAATATGGTGAAACCCCGTCTCTACTAAAAATACAAAAAATTGGCTGGGCATGGTGGCACGTGCCCGTAATCCCAGCTACTCAGGAGGCTGAGGCAGGAGAATTGCCTGAACCCAGGAGGCGGAGGTTGCGGTGAGCCGAGATCACGCCATTGCACTCCAGCCTGGGTAACAAAAGCGAAACTCCGTCTCAAAAACAAAAAAAGATACAGGATAGATATAAAAAGCTCTAGAAATGATCTGGGGACTAAACAAAGGTCTCTAATGAGGCCTGGAGAGAAGAGGCAGGCTGGCCAGCCACCTGCAGAAGCAGGGCTAATGCTACAGATCTCCAGGTGGCAACCTATACCCAAGGGCAGGGAACCAACATCTCCTTCCCTCTAAGCAGGCAAAATCTGAAGGCCAGAGTCTCATCCTGGCCATATCCTCCCACACCTAGAGCTCTCTCAGTTTCCTACTGGGCAGGAGGGTCCTGGAGGAGCAACGGAAGGTGGCAGGTAGAGATGACCAAATTGGGATCGAATCTTGGCTTCACTACTTTCTAGCTGAGTCATCTTGAAGAAATAACCTTTTTAAATCTCTCTTAATCTTAGCTCTTTGTTTCACTGCATGTAAAAGAGAAATAACAGTCTCTACCTCACAGGAATATTGTATATACGTATATATGTCATGTATATGTACATATGTATGTATATATATGTATATATGTGTGTGTATATATGTGTGTGCGTGTGTGTGTGTGTGTGTGTGTGTGTGTGTGTATATATATATGTGTGTGTGTGTGTGTGTGTGTGTAGAAAGAGAGATAATATACTTTGCAGAGTGTCTGGCACAGGACAACTATTTAGAAAATGCCAATTTGCATCTCTTTCTTACCTTCAGACATTCTGCCAATCTGGACCACTAAACCTCAGACAGTAACGGTATGAGTCAGAAAAGGGGATATGGAGGGACTTGAAGCTCTCAAGTTTACACAAAAGACTTACAAAAGTTAACAAGCAAATGGGGACTGTGCGAAGCTCTGTCTTGGGCTACTAAAGAACTGAGGATTGCCCACATCTTTTTAATGAGTAGTCAAACTTCACAAGAGCTACCCTGACCCAGTGGCCTCAAGAAACAGGAGGGCTACACCAGCTTGGAGAATTCTCTGTAAGTAACTTGGGATAAGGAGGCCAGGGTACCCAGGAATCACATACTCTATTCACTGAGATTCCTCCAAAGTTATTTTCCAATATGTTTCAAACTTGTCCTCAAACACTGTTGCGGACTGAATGTTTATGTCTCCCTAAAACTCATGTTGAAATCCTAACCTCCAATATGATGGTATTAAGAACTGGGGCCTTTGGGAGGTGATTAAGTCATGAGGGTGGAGCCCCTATGAATGGATTAGTGCCCTCATAAAAAAGACTCCAAAAAGTTCCTTTGTCCCTTCTGCCATTTGAGAACACAGCAAGAAACCAGCCATCTATGAACCAGGAAGTGGGCCCTCACTGAATCTGCCAGTGCCTGGATCTTGGACCTCCTGCCTCCAGAACAGTGAGCCATAAATTTCTGTTGTTTGTAAAGCCACCTAGTCTACACTATTCTGTTATAGCAGCCTGAACAGACCAAGTCAAGCATGAACAATTGGAAGTTTATTTTTTGCAACATTTTCTTTGAACCCAAATGCTTAGGAACACAGGGCATCTGATTTTGCAGAACTCCAAATACTAGGTTTTGTACTTCGAAAAATAAAGCCCCTACACTACAGGCTCGTTTCCATTTAGCTGTAATTCTTAGGCTCAACCAATAGATGGCAGCATTAGAGAGAACAGGGGCAGCTGTGCAAACCCCACCCCCTAACCTAAAGAAAGGAAGAAGGGGTCTGGCAAAGAAAAGAGGTGTTGAGGTAAGCCAAGGTGCAGCCACCTTTCAGTGACTGTCCTATATGCCTGGCTCTTTGCTGAACGCTTTACTGTAAGATGACAACAGGGTGAGTCAGGCGTTAGTCCCATTTTACATAAGAGGAATCTGAGACTGAATATGGATCGTTTTCCTGAAGTTACACAGCTCACAAGTGGTGGATTGGCATGCAAAGCTAGGTATGTGTGTTCCCATCCCACCTCACCTCCCTGAACATCCAAGAGGACATGGGTTAGGGTGGGTGACTAAGGCCATCTCTACTGTGTCCTTTGCATGTGCCCTCATGCCATTTCCTTGTGACTCCTGGAGCTCTCCCCTGCCTGTCAACCAGTCTGAGCTTATAACTTTCTTGAGCCGAAGTCTCAGACCACTCCACTCCTGAAAGAGGTGTCCTGTACCAAATTCCCTGGCCACGTCACTCTCTAACTTGTGCTCTTCAGCACTGACCAGGTGTCTAGACCCTGGGTATGCAAAGTGTGGTCTGTGGACCAGTAGCATCAGCACCAGCTAGTTAGAAATGCAGAATCTCAGGCCCCACCCCAGACCTACTGAACCTCCACTCCAACAGGCTCTCAAAGGGATTCATGTGCATGCTAAAGCTTCAGAAGCACTGGGCTAGATTACCTTGTGTGCCAAGGCCTTCAAATGTCTCTGGTCACAGCTAGTGAGTAAAGAAACTGGGTTTCCAGAGGTGACTTCCTATGCAGGGAATGTTGGGCTGCCTGCTCGGGTCCACATGAAGAGGTTAGTGCTTTTAAGGCTTAGACCCCATTCTCAGGAAAGGGATACTTCTGTCTTTGCCTCCTCTAATTCCCACCCTGTCACAGCTCTTAACAATGAGTCAGCAGGCCCAGCTGTGGGGGCCTGGAAGCTAGAGGACAGCTCCAAGCCTAAGTACCTGAACCCTAATAAGAGAGATATTGGCAAAGCCAAGCGATTGAAATTCCACTACCCTAGGCCCACAGGCAGGAGAGAAACATGCTGGAGCAATGCTGTGACCTTGGGGCTATCCAGTGGGAAAGCAATAGAACCATCTTACCAAGAAGCAAGGAAGTAAAGGCATTGAAACGGGACCTGCTTTCCATCAGGCATACAGAAACATCACTCTCTATCAATCAGGCTGGAGACAGAAGGAGCTGACCAGAGGCCGCGGCATCCCTGGGCTAGATGTGAACCCACTAACTGGTCTCCCATGCAAACCTTGTCCCCACGCCCTCCCCTAGCCCAAGATGACTTACTTGTGATTCCTCCTTTCTTACCTAAGAATCCTATGAAATAATACGCGTTATTTGGTTTTCCTCCTAATGCCCCTAAAGACTGTGGCATCTTAAAACACTCCTGGAGAGAAAGAGAATGCAAGATTCTCAACTCACTTGTGGACTGCTGCTCACGGATCTCTGTGCTGAGATGGCAGTGTGATGGGCAGGCAACAATGGGCTCAGGGAAAGGAGTGACTTACTTTGAATGCATCAACATAGACAGGATTGATTTGGTTTATGCCCAGGCGAAGGGGCACAATGAGCAGTAGGGGTTTCCAGGCTGGGCAGTAGGCAGAGGTGCCCCTACTCTCGTTTGAAGCAGTCAGAGAATCGGGAGGCCTGTCACCAGGTGTGTCAGCACTCAAGGGAAGGACACGGCACATTTTTTCTAGAAATGGAAGAACAGAAAATTGGATAAGGAGTCTTCAGCGCTAAAAGATATTCTAAAATCAAAACTAAGGTGAACCTCACATGCTCCCCCACTCCAACCCTGCCTCCCTCCCTAGAAGGCCTTGTCCTCTGCTACCAGGACTGAGCTGACTCCCCTCTCGCACAAAGCCCAAGCCATTCCTCTAGAGCTCATGCTCTTCTTTCTGGCCGCTGGGTACTTGTTCAGCTCCCAATAGGGATTCTGGGCTCATTGGAAGAATCTCATTTCTCAAATCTGTCAGAGTCTTTGAGACAGGGACTGTATCTCTAGGTTGCTCTCACTCCCCGGTGCAGGAAGCACAGGCCTGGACAAGAGTGGGCCTCCATGAAAGATCTGTTGGTGGCTGAATAGATTATTACACACACTTTGTATTTGCTGTAGTGAATGAGTGTGGTACCTCAGTTGGGGCAGCAAAGCCCCTTTAATTGTGTTCTCCCTTTCAGAAAGCTGAAAAGAAAGAGAATCAGAACCCTATGCTCCCCTAAGCTTCCCTGTCCTGGTGGGGAAGACCAGAGAGACTCTCTTGAGCCCAAGAATTCTGAATGGTGAGAAGGGAACTCATCACCCATCAGCTGGGAAGTTAAACAGGCTGGTAACTCACTGATATCTTCAATGACCACTGTGTTATCCATTGAAACATAAACAGCCAAGGAATTCCATTCGTCAAATAAAGCAAGTTTTCTGCAAAGCAATGTATAATGAAGTCACAATTTGGGAAGATGGAAATATCAGCAGAAAACAGTACAATTTATGCCCAGTGTTCCTAAAGTCACCAAATGCTGAGCCACAAAGCTGGTGTTCAGGTTGGCTCTGGCTTCTTTGCCAGAGATCTGGGATGCTCCATGTCCAGAGACCTTGAGAATGTCATAAAGTCACTGTATCTGAACCTCAAAAAGAAGTTTCTGCTTTACAACCTGAAGAAGTCTACTTCACAAAATAATGGGACTCCTACAGGGGAAAAAAGAAAAGTTACCCAAGCATCTGCTCTCAAAGTCCTAAGAGACTGTTTTCTTAAACAAAGGACATTCTGAGTTACTGAAATTTTATTTTTAAAAAGGGAAACTGTAAAAACAATTTTGTTTGAAAAGAAAGGTGTTCTTAAAATATATATATTTGTTTGGGATGATAGATAATATGGAGAATATGTTCCATGTAAACCCAGAGAGAGAGAGAGAGAGAGAGAGAGAGAGAGAGAGACAGAGACAGAGATCACTTCTACTCCTCCTCAGCTGCAGTGAGAATGCCTCTCAAGTGACATAGGCCCCAGATTGACTCAGGGGCCGAGCTTTACCTGTCAGCAGCTGAAGAGAGCCAGCATGCTCAACTGTAGGACTTTATGGGAAATTAGAAAGAAAACTCCTTTAAAAGAGAGATGATCTGAGGTCTATGTAAAGTACCCCGCCTATTTCTCCCCTTCCTTCTTCTTCCCTTGCCAGTTTCAGAGAAACCATGTTTAACCTGGTTACCTCTGGGATGTGTGGGTAAAGCCCAGTCTCATTGGACCAAAGAAAACACATTCTCTCTACCAGGTAGCTCCCAGGAAGACAGTAACTACCATGATCACACTTGTATTTCATTCGTTTTAAAGAATTATCTTTTCCCACAATAATAACAATAACATCATCATCGTCATCATCATCATCATCATCATCATCATCATCATCATCATCATATGCTGTTGTTAATGCTAATGATATAATGAATTGGAACCTATTTACATTCTTTTTTTTAAAATGTATGCTGGCGCGGTGGCTCACGCCTGTATTCCCAGCATTTTGGGAGGCCAAGGCAGGCGGATCACCTGAGGTCAGGAGTTCGAGACCAGCCTGACCAATACGGTGAAACCCTGTCTCTACTAAAATCACAAAAATTAGCTGAGTGTGGTTGCAGGCACCTGTAATCCCAGCCTGAGCGACAGAGTAAGACTCCATCTCAAAAAAAAAAAAAAAAAAAAAAAAAGATTTGTTTCCACTTTGTTGTAGGTAACTTCAAAATTTAGAAGAAAGAAGCAAATTCTGAGGGATGTTATTTTAACACCAACCATTTCAAGCTGGATTTTTGGGCTCAGCACAGTCAATCTAATCTTACACTTTCCACACTAAGTTCATACAGTGATTCCTGAAATCCTGCCAGATTTTTAATCAGCAGAGTCAGTGATGTCCAAAAGGCACTCTGACTATGGCAAGAAAGCAGCCACAGAGAGGTTACATTGTCAGCAAGGAGTAAAATCAATATAGATTTTCCCTGGGTCCCCAAAAAGTCCAGGCCAACCCCCTGACATATACATCCCCAAAGCATTCTAGTTCCCTGAAGACTGGTTAGTAATGGAAATAGGGTCCCATCTGTACTTTGGATGGAATCGGTCCTCCCATAATGCCCAGGAGCTGAATACACCACAGGCGGCCAGAAGGTTTCAATCTTCTGATCCCTAAATCTGGTCCCAGATTCTGGCTGCCATTTTCATTCATTCATCCAGCACATATTGAGTACTTATGTATGCCAGGCAGCTCTATGTGAAAGAGTTACAGAGTGAACAAGATAAATACAATCTCTACCCTCCTGGAGTTTCCATCCAGTGATAGGTTGTTAGAGTGAAAACAGGTATGGTGGTCTGCAGGCGTTAAGTATTAATATCACTCACCCCATTTGCTTTCAAAAAGTTGGTTCTGACCTCTCCACCTTGCCTCTTGTGGTGGGAGGTGAATTCTGGAATTTAACAAGACAACTGCAAAAATAACACGCTGGGACACCTTGAGTCTGCTATGAGATGACAAACTGATTCCGAGACTCCCCTGGGGTTGGTCTCCTCCGATAGCAAGGACTGTGTCAAGTTTATTTCTGTACACCCAGAACTTAGCACAGTAAAGGTACACGGAAAATGCTGAATGAACAGGGTTTTAAAATACCATGCAGTGCATGTGGGAGCCCTGTGGGGGCCATTTCTTGCTTAGGCTGGCTTAGCCTCTACCACTTAGAATGAAACTTTTAGCTTCACAGGGATTCTCAGACCGATGGCTCCTAGGCACATGAGCATCAATCTGTAGCACAAGACACTGAATGAGTCCTAGGATACAGCCACACATACTGCTACCAGCGAATATAACTCTGATATACCAGGACAGATATCCACGCTTACACATTTCAAAGAGCCATCTGAGCAAAATGGCACAGATATTTGATGGCTTAGTGGGAGGAGTAGCTTAGAGGGATTGCAAGAATACCTGGGTTGATGGAAGGTTTAGCTACTAGGGAGGGAGGCATAGGAGAAAGGAGAATAAGGCAAATGCCAGACTCTTTTACTTACTTTAACACCTGTGCAACTGTATTTGGTCCAAACCATTCGCCAATTGATTTCCCTTCTCCTACACCCATTTGTGCTGTTTTTATGTGGAAAAAATTAACATGTTAGCAAAAGATCTTCCAATAAGCCACAAACTCCTAATTTTTTACATAAAGAATTAAGCAGATGGACAATTTAATGGAGCCACATATAAGGCAAGGGAAGAGAAGGGGCAGGAATAGGAATTGCCTTTTAACGATTGGTTTATGACCTTACCCATTTGATGGATAGAATAACAACAATCTTTTCTATCTAAGAAGCACTGTAGGATGCGTTGGTATTCTTTGGGTTGTTCTTTTTGTTTCTCCCAACTCCAGTCTTTTCAAGAAAAAAAATGGGTTAAAACATTTTTATAACTGTTTATTACCTCTCTGCACTCTTATTGTAACTACAAAATTAGAAAGAAAACAAAGGCACTACATCTAGAAGGCAGGAATGATCAAGTTAGAACATTCCTAAGTATCTTTCATTTTGATGACAAAGACATCTGGAAAGTGATTGCTTTAAAAGACTCAGTGGGTATAAAGTAAAAGCAAAACAAGAAGCTGACCAAGGAATTGACTTAACCCAAGGGCTAGAGCTGGATAAATATTACATAAAAACAATGTCACAAAGGCCTTTCTGGCCAGTTCCTCAGTGAACAGGAGGTCAACACAAAGCCCAGCAGTACATTGGTATATAACCCAGACATCACAGCATCTCATCTCCACATAGACAGCAACGGCTTTTGTTCTTGTATTTTGGCAGCATTGCCAAAAGGGTCTCATGGCAGCGGGGGAGGTGCTATTCTGATATACAACAGTTCACCGGGGAATATACACAGTTCAGAACTAAGGAAGCTTTAAAAAATTGCATGCTGTCATGTTTAAACCACCTTTGCAAAAGTCCATGCTGAGCTTTGGGAAAACAAATACCTTTGCTATCAGGTGTTCAAGGTTTCCTTAAGATCAAAGCCAAAATAACTGCATCTGTGGGGATACCATCTATGCCTTCAGCTCAGCCCCCTAAATCCTACAGAGGCCATTTATAACTTATTGAGGGCAACTGCAAAAATTCTATGTAATCACAGCAATCCTCTCAGCTCTAGAAACTCTGTCTAATGGGACAGATTTCTGAGGCCTAGTTTGCTTCCAAGACAAATTTCTCCCCTGAGGTTTTAGAGTTTGAAATAACGACTGGAGTACACTTGAAGCCAAAGGCCATTATCTCCTGATTCTTCAGTTGTCTTTTGCTTCTAGTGTTTGTAAAACCAAAGTTTTTAACTTTGGATCCAGCACAGCCCTCAGAGGGTGAACCACATCCAACTTCTTTTCATTAGCTACCAAATTATCCAAGTCTGGGGAAGTCCTAATTAGCTCTACCTTAATTTAAAATAGCTTAATTTAAAAATAGCTTAATTTAAAATACCTTAATTTAAAAATAGCTGGATAGGAAACAATCCAAAAGACATCTTAACAAAATTACTCTTTTAATTCATTTTAGCTACAAGAGCTATTTCCTACTTCTTCCCGCTATTTGCCTTGGTGCTGAAACAATTGAGACTGCTGACTGTGGAGTTTTTTTTTCCAGTTAGCTCCCTCCTTCCAGAACTCACTTCCAAAATAATCATTTTGAAGTGTGTTATATATATAAAAAAAGAAATTAAATAGTAAGAACAGATCTATATCAAGAAGCACGTATAAACAAGGGAAATCACTGGACAGGGAATTGAAAGATCTTTATTTTACTCTCAAATCTTTGATTTCTTGCTGTTTTACCCTGGGCAAATCACATCACTTCCCTGATCCCGGTTTCCTCATCTGTAAAATAGAAATTATTATACTACCCAGGGGAAGCAGTATATCCCAAACCCTGAAGAGACGGTAATAAGCCCTGAAACCTCTCTAGGCCCTTCTCCAATCCTCTCTGAAAGCTGCAGTAAAGTCTGTGAGTTTGCACAGTGGAAAAAGGAAAATGATGTTTCCATACCTCTGAACGTCAATCAGTAACAGCCAGTGAGGTCAGGAGCCCAATCTCATCCAAAGTGTCCTTTCGCTCTCTCATCTCCAAGTCCAACTGGACTTTAACTCAAGTGCCTGAACTGGCATCCAGCCAAGCCTATCCTTCAGATGCCCAGTGGGTAGCACGCACATGTCTTAAGAAAGCAAGACTCAAGAGTTCCAACAACCAGCCCAGCACGGTGGCTCATGCCTGTAATCCCAGCACTTTGGGAGGCCGAGGCAGGTGGATCATCTGAGATCAGGAGTTTGAAATCAGCTTGGCTAACATGATGAAACCCTGTCTCTACTAAAAATACAAAAATTAGCCAGGTGTGGTGGTAGGCACCTATAATCCCAGCTACTTGGGAGGCTGAGGCAAAGAATCGTTTGAACCCGGGGGGTCAGAGGTTGCAGTGAGCTGAGATGGCACCACTGCACTCCAGCCTGGGAGACAGTGAAACGCCATCTAAAAAAAAAAAAAAAAAAAAAAAAAAAAAAAAAAAAAAAGTTCCAACAACCATTATCAGAAGGCTCTTAATTAATGAAATGTCCTCCAAAGGAAGCAAATATAAAGATTCCTTCATCATCAACTGAACATCCTTAGTGAACCAAAACCAAAATAGCGCCAGCTCCCTCTATTAGGCACTTCCTTTAGGTCACTTATGTCCTTCACCAGGCAGATATCTTAAATGAGGTCAAGAAACAGACTTACCACCACACCCTTCTTCCTGCTCCCTTTGTTATCTGGAATTTCTAAGGACTCACTTGAACAATAGCAAAGATGGAAAGTATAAATGACACACCTCTCCCAATGTTCAGTTCTGTCCCAGGAAAATAACTCCCTGGCTTAGTGACTCACAAGGAAACACTAGCTGTTTCCTTCTTATGAGGGGCTTTGATGACTTGTCAGCCCCGCCACGAGCTTGCAGAGAGCATTTTAAGACCCGCAGGTTTGTTACTGAGTGTTCCCAATGCTCAGCATCAAAGCTAAATCAACAGCAACAAGTGATACTGCAGAGGTCTCTGAGAAAGTTTATAAAACAAATTTAACTCACCCCTTCCCAAATGTCTACAGATAAGGGCCTGAGCCAGCATCATCTGTCCGCAGCGTAGCATACATCCCCAACCAGCATCTGATGAAGGACCTGTTCCGCCTGTCGGCAAAAATGGAAGGGAATGAATTTGAGTTCCTCAAATCGCCCTTCCCTGAAACATCAGCATATTTGGGACTCACACAAGACAGGCCAATACATATACTCTGAAAAGTGAGGTGACAGATATACCCAGAAATCAAACAAGATTTGGGTATATGGTTAGAACTTTCAAAAATAGTGCTGAGTTAACCAAAACAAGTTCTACAGACAAACATAAAACAAGAAAGTGAACTAAACATGTCCCTTATGCTTTCTGCTTGGAGACTTCTAGATATACATGCAATTTTGGTAGGTGACTGCCATGTATGAATAACACCCTTAGTCCATTCCATGTCATGATCCGCCAGACCCAAACCTTGCCTTCTATAGCTCCCCTGCATGGCCCTGAAATTCTCTGGGAAGCCAGTTTTACTTAGGTAAAGAACAAATACTACCAAAGGCAATCATCAAAATGGTCAAAGAGATTTGGAAAGCTTGTGATTATTCTGAATATATACTATAAAGATCTAAACAGCAAGAAGGACATTGTAATATAAAGGAAAGATTCCTAGATGAGGCATCAGAAGACCAGGCTCAAGTTATCTAAGTCTCATCTATAGGCTGAGCATAATAGCACATACTCTGCCTACTGTCAGTGGATATTGTAAGAACTGAGAGAATATCTATGAAAGTGCTCTAGAACCCATAGAAGATGATGTAAATACTTGATGTTATGAATATGATCATAATTTAAACTCATATTAATACATTAGAAATGTATCTTTAAAAGGTATAAAATTAGTTAATAAATGAAATAAGACAACAGGTTCCATCTTAAGAACACATTATGCAAAGAAAATCCCACATATGAGGGCAGGGTGAGCTCAATATACTTTTCTAAGGGGCCAATGAAATCAGATAACTTGGATGGCAGAGAGGATATTTTGCATTGTTTTCTTTTCCCAGTGTGGAAGTGGAAAAATATGCTATAAGAACGATCTCAGAAGACTAACTTCAAAGGGGGTCATCGACCTTGTAGGACAAGTGGGTCAAGGTGGTCACCCTTTCCTTTTGTTGTGGGGACTGAAGGAGAGTTGCTACAAGATGGGAAGGAGGGAGCCAATTTGTGAACTGGAAGGGGTGCCTTTTGGCTCTTGCTAATGCTGGGATTACAGGCCAGATTAGTATAGAAAAGACACAATGAGGCTCATATAAAGAAGAGATCATCGATTGCCAAAATATTGGCAGAGTAAAATTAGAAATGTGTTCCAGCCTTGCAAAGAACTCCTCAGCCAAAGAAAGTTCACAGTTCAGAACCACTGAGTAATAAAGATTGCTCTTTTGTTTGTTACTGACTGGCATATTTCTGGGGAGAGAAAAAAAAAAAAGTCTGTGTGACCTTCATTTTTGGCACTGAAGAGAAAGGTTGATTTCATTCTAGTTACTAGGGCCCATTCTATATCAAAATTGGTCAGACAGGCTTCCTCTTAGGAGATTAGATTTCACCATTTGTAGGCCCTTTTCCTACAGGGCCATGATACTAGGAAGTAGCCACCCTACTTGCAAATGTGTTGCATAGCCTCTATAGAGAGAGCATATTCACTTCACTTATTGAACTGTCCTTTTTTCTAGATGGCAGCTGGTAACAGCCTAGAATTAGTTCCAAGGAAACTACCGTAATTTGTTTCCCAATGGCAAGGTGCTTTCATGTCATAAGGGAAAAAAAAAAAAAAAACAAAGAAATTATTTTCTTTCTTTCAAGGCACAATTTTCTTTAATAATCAAGTAGTTCTACAAAGCTGTGTATTGTAGTTTAATAGCTATTATACAAATTAAAAGCTTATTTGATTTTTCCCTTTAATCTCAGAAGTATAATAAGTAATTCCATCTGGTGCCTGAACACTTGGAGGTGGGGTCAAAAGTATACCATCATAACCCCTTAATGCCATGGAGCCACATGTGAAATGATACTTTAGCAATGAAACTTTTGGATAATGTGTAAGATTTACCTAGTCCCCTAAATCAAATTCTTTTCTATGGTGAGGCGTTAATTCTGAGGTTTCTATGAAGTCACTGATAACCTCAGACAAGCTATCCACAAGGAACAAAACACAGTAAAACAAATGATATACCTACCAATTGGTGAAAATTTCCTTCTGTATGTAAACCATAGACGAGCACTTATATCAGACAACAGCTTAGATTTTTCTGTAATTAAATGTAAAATTAAAATTAAATCACCATATCTAAAAATACCTGCCTTTACTTCTGAGCAAACTGCTAACTTAATTTCAAATAACCAGTCAATTCCATTATTATGGGGCTAGTTTAATTCACAGGAAATCCAATCTCATTTTATCCAAATAATTTCAGTATTTCTCCCAACCTGTGGTTTGTCCAGAGCTACTTGACTGGAGTAATGACACTGGGTAGCTCCTGTCATCTTTTCACTGAGTTCCACAGTCCTGGCAGTTATAAACACTGGGATCATTGCCAAAAGACAAGGAATAAGAAAATTAAGAATCCTAGAGAACCCACTAACAACACAATCAGCCCCAGCCTGCATGATGGTCGCTTGGATCTTGCATCAGCACCCATCATCCCTTATCTAAAACTAGAGGTTTGGCTGGGCCCAATGTCTCACACCTGTAATCCCAGTGCTTTGGGAGGCCAAGCAGTGAGATCACTTGAGGTTGGGAATTCAAGACCAGCCTGAGCAACATAGTGAGACCCCATCTCTACAAAAAAAAAAAAAAAAAAAATGAGGTGTGAGGATCACTTGAGCCCAAGAGTTCGAGGCTGCACTGAGCTATGATCACCACTGTACTCTAGTCTGGGTAACAGACAGAGAGACTCTGTCTCAAGCAAAACAAAACAGAACAAAAACTAGGGGCTGGTTTGTGTGTGTGCATGTGTGTCTGTGTCTGCAGGCACACATGCTTGTTTAAATAAAAAGGAAATGCCCTACTAAGCAAATTAGATATGTAAGAAATGTATCTATAGTACCTAGTGCAACAGCACTTGTAATCTAAATGCATATATAAATATCACAAATGTTTTTGTGCCTTTTTTCAAAGCATGCTTTCTTGTATTTTATGACATAAATTTACTTTGATGGGCCGTGAATATGGCTTCCACATTTTTATCTATACTTAGATGTGGCTGTCTTTCTTAGTCACCTCTCTCCCTCTTTTCAACATGTTTATATTATATTCTGTATAAACTTAGTCACTGCACTTAGGAAGAACAAAGGGAAATCCGCTTTTAGCCAGAAGTTTCTATTTTCTCTCTTCCTTTTCTTTGAAGCAAACTGGAAAGTTGAGCTATCTGCATTTTCCCTCCCCTCCATGCCCCAGTGCCTAGCACAGTCAGGGAAGCAGCTGTATAATGGTTAAGAGTAAGACATCCAAAGTCATACTTTGCTTTGGTTTGAACCTTGATTCTGCTACTTACCAGCTGTGTAAACCAGTTAACTTAACCCAGGCGTCCCCAGAGTTTTTACACAGGGGGCCAGTTCACTGTCCCTCAGACCGTTGGAGGGCCGCCACATACTGTGTGCTCCTCTCACTGACCACCAATGAAAGAGGTGCCCCTTCCTGAAGTGCGGCGGGAGGGGGGGAGCGGATAAATGGCCTCAGGGGGCCGCATGCGGGCCCGCGGGCTGTAGTTTGGGGACGCCTGACTTAACCCCTCTGAGCTTCAGTTTCTTCATCCATAAATATGGAGAATAATAGTACCTACTTCACTGAGTTGTGAGCATTCAAAAGACAATACATGTAAAGTGCTTAGACAATGGTGACTGGTGTGCAGTGAACCTATGACAAATGTTAGCTGTTATATACCTAATCCTCTTAAATGTCCACACCCTTGCTCCTGCCTCTGACAGTCTTTATGCCCTGTGGCTTTATGCTTGGGAAGTTGTATGGACATTTCAACAATGATTTCACTTTGAGAGGCATTTCCCAATTTAATATTTGAATTTGAGTGGATTTGGCAACCTGGGGATTTCTGTTGTCATGAATGCAGAATTAGAAGAGATCCCCTCCAATCCCATCATTTGAAGTACCAATGAAAAAAGTTAAGATCCAGAAAAATAAAGTGACTTACCTGAGTTAGAAGAGTCTGAATACAAAAGGTCTCCTAATCGCTAGCTCCAGGCTCTCTTTACTGTTCACAATTCTCCAATCAAAATAATGAAGCCAGGCTCAGGAGGAGCTGGACAATGCCTAACTTCCTCTCCTGCCTTTTCATCAGCCTCTTCCTGTTCCTTCCTCCACCCTAAGCCAGGGCCTCTGAAGAGGATGTCTCCTCAGAAAGATACAAATCTCAGAACTGTCTCTTTCCAAGCTCTGGCTTTATCTGGGTGCTGGGTTGTTAGCAGCTTCAAGTTAAAAGGTCTTTCTTTCCCAATCTATAAGAATGTAATGGTAAGGAAGAAAATTCAAGCCTTCTTTCCACCTAGCTGCAGTGGCTAAAAGTTCCATACAAAATCAGAATAAACGGAGACAGTGCTATAGTCAGCAAAAGATCTAAAACATCAGAAACACTTCTTAGGTCTGATATTGTTTCTGAGCTCTATGGGTTGTCTAGAAGCCCCTAGGTGTTTTTATCTAGTCAGACAAGCATATGAGAATACTAACTATGTAGCCCAGTCAGAAAAGGTTAGAGACTGACTGGTTAGTGATACCAGGAGCAGGTCAGTGTTTTTTGAAACCCAAGGTTTCTAGAACTTGGGGATTCTATTTATGGAAATGAATAAAAATATATTACTTGTACAAATTGTGCAAACACATACAACCACGTAAACATACTACTGGGGCCTTGGAAGGGGCCTGTCCAAGCAAAAGTCCTGAGGCTTAAGCTCCGTTGACTACAGGGTAAATCTACCTCACAGTAGCATTGACACTGAGCAAGGCAATGCTCTGCCAACCCAAGGAGAGAAAGTACAAACCCTGAACCTCAGACGCCCACTTCATCTGGGTTCTTACAGACAAATGCTACCAAATCTTACCTGTTTTAAGGAGATGCTGCTTCCCTAAGATCCATACCAGCTCATCTGTATTTGGATATTCTTCTAGGTACTCAGTGAAAATAGTAATCTGGTTTTCATACTTAGATAAAACTGAAAGAAAAGGAAAGAAACTTAAGCAAAATTTAATAGAAGGGGCTCTGGGGTTGACTATGACCTTCATCCTGAAGGTGAAAGGTCAGCAGCTTGAATCTAATGGAAGCAATTCCTTTTCCTTAAGCAACAAAGACACTCACAAGACCTCAAAATCCTTTAGCTGAAGGATTTCCTCTTGACCATCTCTTTTGACCTTCCCTTTCCCCAGGTAACACCATCTCTAAAAAATCATTCGGCCACAGTTACTTCAAAACAGTTTATACCATGAGGTCTTCTTTGTAAATAGCCAATTATCGAGCTTCCCCTAGTCTGAGTGTATTGAGGGGCTATAATAGCTGCATTCCTAACTCCTGCCCATGCCACAGGGAATATTATGAGGTTTGTATTGGGAGGATTCTAGTGGCCAGTGGCTTGGAAGGTACTGTGACAAGCCTGAATGTTTGTACAACTGTGAATATGGTAATATTTTAGCTGGAAGACCAGATGTTTTCATAGTATTTTTATTTGCCATTATATTCACATATGGCTTCTGCAAAGAAAGCTCTTGAAGTTGATGGTAAATATAACTTGTTCTTGGTATTCAAAGATGACTATTAAGATATAATAAGAAATACATATTTTAGTTTCTATCCCTGTTTTCTGGCACAGAGCTCCTCAAAACCTTGTTATGGTGATACGGATGCTATACGCATCTTTTGTTCTGAAATTTGGCCTTTCTCCCTGGTTCCAGACACAGAGCTTCTAATGAATTTCCTGGGTGATAAGAGCATCTTCTGTTCTAATGAGGTATCTCTTGATGGGTTTCTGGATGGAGGATTATTACCAGAAAGACCAAGCCAAGATTAGAATGCTTGGAATTTTGAGTCCCAACCCCCATCTTTTAGGAAGAGTGGAGACTGAATCAAAAATTGATCATTCCTACATGATGAATCCTTCATAAAAATCCCCGGACTGTGAGATTTGGAGAACTTCTGGGTTGCTGAGTATATGGAGGTGTCTGGAGGGTGGTGTGCCTGAAGAGGGCATGGTTGCTCTCTGCCCCTTCCCACATGCCTTGCCCTACGCATCTCTTCCATCTGGCTGTCCATCTATACGCTTTGTGATTTTTTTTTTTATAATAAATGGGTAATCATAACGAAGTGTTTCCCTGAGTTCTGAGTCATCCTAGCAAATTATGGAACATGAGAAGGGGGTCATGGGAACCCCAATTTATAGCTTGTCAATCAGAAGCACATATAGCTGAAACTTATGACTGGTATCTGAAGTGGGAGCAGCGTTGTAAGACTGAGCTGTCAGCCTATAGAATCTTACTCTAACTCCAGATAGGTATTGTCAGAATTGAATTAAATTATAGGACACACTATTGGTGTCTGCTGGAGAATTGCATGGAATGTGGTATCAGAAGAATTGAGTGGTGAGTGTCAGAGTAGAAAACTGTTTTTTCCTATCTCATACAACTGTGGTTATCTCTGAACATAAAGTATCCCCCAAAATATAACTAAACCTCATTTGTTCACAAGCCATACTTTTCAAAGTTATGACCACGCAATATGGGAGGAGTTAAAATTCAAATTCACTTTTGTACCACCTGTGGGGAAAAGGTCTGCTAAAACACTCAAGATTGACTTATGAAGGGGTCCTATTTCCAAAGTTCTTCATAACTAACATTCTGAGAGAGGCCAGGCGTGGTGGCTCATGCCTGTAATCTTAACACTTTGAAAGGCCGAAGTGGGAGGATTGCTTGAGGTCAGCAGTTCAATACCACCCTGGCCAACACAGTGAGACCCCGTTTCTTTAAAAAAATAAATAAAAAATAATAATTTTCTGAGAGAAATTATATTTTAAACCATACATATATTTCTAAGCCAGCTCACAAAACCTATTTTAATCTGTAACTAGAAAATTTAAATTAATAGTCTATTTCATCATTTATGGTGCTATTTCTATGAGAAAATATATTTCAAGTTCAAAGCTAATGTACCCAAACACACACCTCTCAGCTCGTGGGGGCTCCTCAGCCCCTACGGGGAGGGGAGCCCAGAGAAAGTAGGGGCCCATTTGTGTAACTACAAGTAGCTGCAGAGATTCTCTAAAAGAAATCCCTAAGAGCCCTATGGGTAGAGTTTCTTGTACAAATGGCATTGTGGGATATGTCTAACTCATTTAAAAGGATACATTATTTTATCTTGCTTTGTTTTTGTTTTCTAAGGCATGGGCATGTTGTTTTCATACAAATAAATGTTCCTAAATATAAATGAGTCTGTTCTGATCATATAAATATTTTGTTGGAAGTTGAAATTATAGTTTGTGCAAGCCCTTTTAGAAACACAGCTAACCAGGCATATTACATTTCATAAAATATCTTACAGAATTCCAGTCATTCAGGGTTAGTCTTTCTCCTCAACATATTTTAATTATTAAGATGATAGTCTCTGCAGTGTTTCAAGTCAAAAGAAGTTAGAAACAGCCATTTTGTTCCCCAGTGAAAATTCATCACTACCAAATCTGCCAGGGAGCCTGTGCCATCTTAGCCTCTCTACTGCTGGCCTTAGCTACTGGCCCATGCCCAGGAAATACCAGGCTAAAAATGATCATCCAGGTCAGGCCATCCCCAGAAGGTGGTGGACTGAGGCGAGGCAAATCACACTGTGTACCTCCCCACCCTACCCTCTACCCCTCACAGGCAGGAGAAATCCATTTTAAATGAACATCCAGTGTAGCCTAAACAGAGAAAGAAAATCAGAAAATAAGTAACTTGAGTAGAGTGTGGGAAAAGGGCAACCTCTCTGACATTGTCTTGGTGGGGGTGAGGAAGGGCGGCATTGGATGAATGTACAGCATGTATGCATATAAGCCTTAGGTCTTTTTTTAGTACTGGCCAAAGAAAACCATTTCTCTATTGCCAACCCTGTCTCAGTGAGTCACTGGCCAGTTATATGGTCAAATTAGCAAAGCCCTTTAAAGCCTGTGACAACTGCCCTGCTTCATTCGGGATGGCTCTGATCAAAATGGCAGCCAAAGAATTTTGCTCTTGCACTTCACTCCCTCTCAGGCCTAGCTAAGCCAGCAAGAAGGTCATTACAGTCTCTATATTTCTTGATTCTTCTCTTAGAAGATAGACACCCTGAATGCAGTATGTCAGGCTACAGCCATCCCTGAATCAAGGCTACATGTATGGAACAAATGAAAGAGCAGAAAATGAAATTAACAGAAGCAAAAAGCAGTGACATGGGAAGATTATATACACGGGGGTCTAGGGAGGAAAGAGGAACAGGTCTTACACAGGGTGAACTCAGACAGATGAAAAAACAATCTGGGAAGTGGATGAGGTACAGAAGTGAAATATCATTTCCAACATAATTACTTCTGATTAATAGCAATACTTGTGTTTTAAATTTTTCACAAACTACCTTTGTCTTGCCTTTAAAAATAAACAAACCAGATATCAGGCTGATATGAGTTCCCTGCCTTTTCAGCCTGTTTAAAGAGATAGGGACTATATAGGCAGAGCTACAAATTTATAACCTGGTGGACCAAGAATTAGTTTCTACAAGGTCTCAGGGACAACAGGCTTTACCCCGTTCCACTTGACTTTAATAATAATTATTGTACTGAAGTCTCTGCTGGGTTAGCTTAGTGGCCAGCTCATAATTAGACAAAGATTTCCTTAAATTCCTGGAACCAAAAAGCCTCCCAGTCTTGGCCAAGAGGCTCTGTGTACATGTTGGGGCATGTCATCAACACTCAGCCATACAGTTGATAACTGCCTTTGTCCTCACTTTCCGCTTATGCAGAGCTCAGGTGATCAGCTCACTCTAGCTGATGTAGAGTGACAGCATAGGACCTAATGAGGTCTTTCCCAAGCATTTGCACAGCCCTATGCATGCATGTGATCTTGTAGATTCCCAGGAATATGCTCAAGCTTTCCAAAGCTCCAGGAATCTCATTCCCCAGCTTTTTCTTTGAAGCTTTGTGGTTAGCTGGAAATGTTATCCATTGCTTCAGGCAGCTGAGAAGTTCACTGATTGCCTCTAATCATTTTCCAAAAGCAAGACCCTAGGGAAAAGGCTTTCTGTAGCTCTCTTTCAGGCCAAATAAATGCAGTCTTACAAGTGGGGGTCTTCTGAGGGAACTCCAGACAGATCTAATAATGACAATTCTCTAGAAATGAGACTCTAAAGGAGTTCCAATCCTATTCTGTCTCCTCTGGTGGCTGCCAGGCTGCTGGTTTTCCCTGTGATTGCAGGCTATTGATTTTGAAGGCTACTGCAGAGCCAGGGAGAAAGGGATGAGAATATGGTGAATGAAAATATTAATACCAGAAAGCTCACTGTTCTTATCAACATGCAGCCATTTTTTCTTGAATAAATGTTCCCTGGATTGCTGCAAGCCTTTAGTTCATTTCTAGAGTTATGAAAAAGTTGATTCTATTTCTGCCAGTTTTTTCATTGTTATTATGGAGGGAATTTTCAGAGGTTCTTACTCTGCCATTTTTGCTGATGTCTTACTTTAATAATATGGTTTCCGGCAATTGACTACATTTCTAAGGGTTATTTTGGAAAATTGCATGTAAATGAGAAAATCACTTTGAAAAACAAATTTTCTGACAAGGCTTAACAAAAACACTTATACCTCATGACATGAATTTCAGTCAATTTATCCTAGATTCTGTGGTGCTGTGTCCAAGAAAGCAGTACCACAAACTCTCTAAAGTGAAATCAAAAGGCCATAGAATCTCAGGACCAGGAGGGGCCTGAGATATAGTATAACCTCCTTGTAGGTCTTTCAATTCTAACAGCATGCCAGGACACTGCTGTTGCTAAAACAGCCTTCTCAGCAATGCATACATATTTAACATACTGTCAAATCACATCTTCAAAAACTTGGAACAACATCCATGGGGGATAGGTATGGTAACGGCTAAATATTCATTCATATTTCGTTCCTTAAACTTTACAGAGTACCTACTATATGTTAAGTATAGAGGGTAAAACATC